GATGCCAGTGGCCTGATAGGAGCTGTGCACAAGTAAAGAGGAGTGATGATCCATCTTCACTTCTATCTGTTTGTGTAACTTTACAATTATAGTTAGAAAAATAAAATGAAAAGAGAATGAAAAATCTTTGATGGAAATGGACTTGTTAACATCTTTCAGTGAAAATAGGAAGCTGTGGAGGAGAAAGGCAAAGAGAAGCAGTGACTCTCATTTTGTTTAAAGACTCTAGTATTCTTGTCTGGGAAATCCCATGGACAGAGGAGCCTGGCAGGCTATAGTTCATAGGGTTGTAAAGGACTCGGACATGACTTAGCAACTAAACAACAACAACAACAATGGTGTTGAAAGAGAATAGTGAACACAACCCTGAGTCAAGCACACTGCAGGCTGAAGCTTCCCACTGAAGTCCTTTAAGGGTGAAAGCTCTGAAAACAATCTCTACTCTCTCCTTATTAATTGGTTTTTGCATGCTCAATAAATGTTAGTGAGGATATGCTGATAGGATCTGTTTGAAAAGTGAAATTTACAGTGAATTAAATGAGCCTTTTTAAAGTCTCTACATGGTACCAAACCACTTGAGTTAATTAGTTGTCCGCTAAGGACGAGTCTAAAACAATAGGCTAATCTAGCATTAGGTAGATATGACCTCAATGTGATTTTTAAATTATGACTTGCTAGCAATCGGTGGCAGAACCTAGACTATACTGTGTGTCCTTTGGTGGACTTGGCACCTTGATTAGCCCAGCACCTGTCTCTTGGCCATCTGTGGCTGCCTGCTCCTTCTCCACACCTGGTACTTTAGGATAACTCTGAGAAGCATGGTGGCAAATACTGAATTTGCTACTCTGAATGAGACCAGTCATTAGCAGTCATTATTTCATTATTTTTGCTGTTGGAGGTCTTTTTTCATTGTGAGATATTTTTCTAATTTTCTTTGAGGAATACCCATGTGTGGTTAGGAAATAGTTCCCTGTGTTTTTTAAACATATTCATATACCCAGTCATGATAAGCTAGACAGGATTTTTAAAAGTGTGTCTCATGGAATACCAGTCTCACTAGATATAGTTGTTGTTCAGTCACTAGTTGTTGTTCAATTGCTAAGTTGTGTCCAACACACCAGGTTCCTCTGTCCTCCACTATCTCCCCGAGTTTGCTTGAGTTCATGTCCATTGAGCCAATAATGCTATCTAACCATCTCATCCTTTGCCACTCCGTTCTTCTTTTGCCTTCAATCTTTCCCAGCACCAGGGTCTTTTCCAATGAGTCGGCTCTTAGGATCAGGTAGCCAAAGGACTGGAGCTTCAGTTTTAGCAACAGTCCTTCCAAAGAATATCCAGGGTTGGTTTCCTTTAGGACTGACCGGTTTGATCACCTTGCAACAGTAGTCCATATCAAAAATTTCCATAGTCAAATGAGGTTGGGTTGCTGGATCCTAATATTCATTAGCATTTTAAAGGTTCAGATAAATTCTGAGGAAGCTTATTTGTGTTTAATGCGGTGTTTTCTGAGATAATTTGATGGGGTAGCCTGTTCCATTGTGTAAAACACATTAATAACCCACAGAACAATATCTCATAAAATATATGCTGGAAAATGGTTGTACAGAAATATAATCTGGAGAATATGTGGGTATTTTGAAATCTCTACACATATCAACTACCAATTGATTTTGCTATAGGGCATCAGTGGGAGAAGATTCCATTGAGCAGCAGCAACCAAGAAATAAGCAGACAAAAGGAAAGGATTGCTGAACAACCTCTAGAGGAGAGAGAAGATGAGGAGCTGGAGAACACAGCTCTTCAGGCAACTGAAATTGAATGGTTAGGATTTCGGAAACCTAGCCAGGTTGATGTGTCACATTCCAAGCAGGATGAGGAGCAAGAGGTTTGGGATGAAGAAATTAATAATGATGATGATGATGATTGCAAAGATGATGAAGATGAAGTTCGTGTGATAGAATTTAAGAAAAAAAATGAAGAGGATACTCAATTAAAAGAGGAAGGTGATGCAAGTGAGGACTCCCCACTGAGCAGCCCCAGTTCCCAACCTGTCACACCTGATGAGCAGCCAACCTTCGGGAAGAAGGGTGACTTCTCCAGAAATGCTTATTCAAGATACAATACGATATCCTATCGGAAAATCAGAAAGGGGAACACCAAGCAAAGAATCGATGAATTCGAGTCTATGGTAAACTAACTGGAACTGAGAAGTTCTCATGCCCACTAAAGCAAAAGCTAATTCGGTTTTCCTGATATGTATCTTTGTTGCCTTATTTGACTTGCTCCCTTTAAAGAAGTGGAAGCTGAATCTCTGTTTCACTGTAGGGTAATGTGGAAATAACCCTAGTAAAATTTCAGTCTGGTAATCTCAAATCAAGAAGCTTTAGGCTCGTTCTTGGACATTTGTTTTTTAAAACTTCACTAACATAGCCTTATGTGCTAAGCACTAAACAGTGAGTACCACTGGGAAATACAGCATTTAAAAGTTTGGCTTTAAAGTAGCAAAGCTGGGAAATGTAGTCATCAAATGAAAGAGAACTATTTGAAATGAAATGTAGTTCTTTTTATGTCTTTCTTCCAATACATCGAGGGGGATAGAAAGTCTGGTATCAAATCTCTCTTTATTTAAAATGTGATTTTATAGACTGTGGCAATAAACTTTCCAAAATACTTTGCCTTTCCTATTATCTTCGGATTTTAAGTTGTTTTTCTTGGCATCTACAGAGTGAAATTCTGTATAGGTCGCCTTCCTAGGTGTCACCATTCACTGAATTTTCTCACTAGAGGGGCTGAGCAATTGTCAGGCAGGAGAATTCTGTTTACTAAATGTTGGCTTTATGCTCTCCAGATGAATTAAACCCATTGTGAGATTGCTAGAAGGAGGGGTTGGAAGATTTGTGGGCAATTGACTAAAGAGTTATATCAGATAGTTTATTTCTGAAACAGAAAACAAAATCTTGTCTAGCACAGTTAAAGTCATTAAACATGAAAATGACAGCTTTAGCACAATTTTAAGAAAATACCCCTCTCTATTACTACACTTTCTCTTATTAACAGAATCTCAGAATAATTTTCTTTCCTTAGAAACCTGAGACAACTCTAGTCATAACTGTACTAGTTACTATGAAAATGGAAATAATTATCTTAGAATATTTTCAAAGTAGAGTGTGAGTGTGTATTTTTAGTGAGAAAGCTCTGATGGTTGTTGGGAATATATAATTTACTGGACCTCAGCCCAAATCAAGATGCTTAAAACTGTGCTTGTGAAGCTTCACTCAAACCAATGTGTCAAATAATGTATTGAATATTTATGAAAGGGAGAATCTATATTTATATTCTTAGATCCATAATTTTTCATTTCATGCTTCTATATATATTACCCTCAACTTTCTGTCACCACAGATAAAGACATTTTTTTGGCCCTGGGAATAAAAAGACAATTCCTTATTGTCTGAATGTAATACAGTCTTCATTGTACTATTCAAGCCTTTGTTTATTTATTTTCATTTTGTGAAAAAAACTGGGTTAGCCCTTCTCAGATTATTGCTTACTTATGTGTAACAAATCCCACACATTCTAAAGGCACTTTCTTTAATTCTCTATTGTCATATAATATGTTTCCATAGTATCATACACCATTATTTAGTGTTATTGAGACTCAATTTTGAATTTTTCCTTTTATTATTTTCAAGCAGATACCTTATAACCTGACCATATCAAAGTCTGTCATGCTTAGTCTACAGAATCTATACATTTTATTCTTGACAATGTGTTTTCAGAATAAAGTCAGGAAAATCAAGTCTTTATTGATAAGTTTAAGTAGAAAGATTGATGCACTAGGACAATTACCTGTTTAGTGCCTTTAAATCTTTTTACCTGGACAACCTATTTTCTTTTTTGGATTACTGGTGACCCCTATAATTTTCTACTTAACTTCAAAGCACAGTATTGTATTATCCATCATA